ATGACCGAACCTAACCAACCCTACCTAACCTAACCTATCTCTATAGGTTAGGTCAGGTTAGGTAGCCGAAAAAGTTAGGTTAGGTAGTCGAAAAAGTTAGGTTAGGTTAGGTAGTCGAAAAACAAATAATTCATGAAAACTTGGCTTATTAGGCAAATCGGGCCTTGCATAGTAGGCATAGAAGTGCGTTCTGGCTACTAGGTACGACATATATATATATATACACAGGGGTACCACCTATACTGTTGACCAAACCACACATTAGAAAGTGAAGGGACGACGACGTTTCGGTCCGTCCTGGTTATTCTCAAGTCGATTGTGACTTCTGATCGACTTGACATCACAATCGACTTGAGAATGGTCCAGGACGGACCGAAACGTCGTCGTCCCTTCACTTTCTAGTGTGTGGTTTGGTCAACATATTTCAGCCCCGTTATTGTGACTCCTCGTCTGCGTACCACCTATGGCTGGAAGAAGGGTACCCATAGTCTCGGAAAAAAACACACACAACACATTGAAGGAATTTTTGGGTTTCCACTATTGCGGTTTCCATTTAAATTTTTAATTTTTTTTTTTTTAAATTTTGCCCCGAGGGGCGAGTTTATTGGGCAGCGCCACTCATCTTGTGAGTGGACACACCGCCATAGTGACAGTATTGGGCAGCGCCACTCATCCTGTGAGTGGACACACCGCCATAGTGACAGTATTGGGCAGCGTCACTCATCCTGTGAGTGGACACACACCGCCTTAGTGACAGTATTGGGCAGCGTCACTCATCCTGTGAGTGGACACACCGCCATAGTGACAGTATTGGGCAGCGCCACTCATCCTGTGAGTGGACACGCCGCCATAGTGACAGTATTGGGCAGCGCCACTCATCCTGTGAGTGGACACACCGCCATAGTGACAGTATTGGGCAGCGCCACTCATCCTGTGAGTGGACACACCGCCATAGTGACAGTATTGGGCAGCGCCACTCATCCTGTGAGTGAACACACCGCCATAGTGACAGTATTGGGCAGCGCCACTCATCCTGTGAGTGGACACACCGCCATAGTGACAGTATTGGGCAGCGCCACTCATCCTGTGAGTGAACACACCGCCATAGTGACAGTATTGGGCAGCGTCACTCATCTTGTGAGTGGACACACCGCCATAGTGACAGTATTGGGCAGCGCCACTCATCTTGTGAGTGGACACACCGCCATAGTGACAGTATTGGGCAGCGCCACTCATCCTGTGAGTGGACACACCGCCATAGTGACAGTATTGGGCAGCGCCACTCATCTTGTGAGTGGACACACCGCCATATTGACAGTATTGGGCAGCGCCACTCATCTTGTGAGTGGACACACCGCCATAGTGACAGTATTGGGCAGCGCCACTCATCCTGTGAGTGGACACGCCGCCATAGTGACAGTATTGGGCAGCGCCACTCATCCTGGGAGTGGACACACCGCCATAGTGACAGTATTGGGCAGCGCCACTCATCCTGTGAGTGGACACACCGCCATAGTGACAGTATTGGGCAGCGCCACTCATCCTGTGAGTGGACACACCGCCATAGTGACAGTATTGGGCAGCGCCACTCATCCTGTGAGTGGACACACCGCCATAGTGACAGTATTGGGCAGCGCCACTCATCCTGTGAGTGGACACACCGCCATAGTGACAGTATTGGGCACCGCCACTCATCCTGTGAGTGGACACACCGCCATAGCAGCATGTACAACACTCTCCAATAGGAAGAAAACCCGCTGGGTTGTTCATCCTGGCACTTTTCCAACCACCCTCGACTCTTCGTGGTTTGTTTTTCTCTAAGAATTAACGTGTTGCAAATTATACATTGGTGAATATAATGGAAGGTTAAGAATTGTGGGTCTCTTGGCGCTCCTATTCTTCTTTTTTTTTTTTTTTTTTTTTTTTTTTTTTTTTGAGTAAAGAGGAAGGAGAGGCATAGGTGAAGGGAAGTATAGAAGTGGGAAATACAGTGAGAGGTATGAAAGCAGGCGGGCTGTCCGCCTTGCTGACACGATGTGTGGGTGTTGGCAGCTAAGCTAAGCTGGCTCCCTCTTGTCAGGGAGCTGTGAGTGTGTGAGAGGTTCTTCACATGTGTTTCACCATATATGGATGTCCATAGATGAATACTGTGAAGCATTCATATATAGACACTCCGATGCTTCCACACACGTTATTCTGTTTAATGCTCTTTATTTTATTATTATTATTTATCGAGTTGTCATACATATTATTTATCGAGTTGTTCATACATACACATATATGAACTGTTCATATATATACATATATAACTCATCTTGGGATTATATACTGTGGGGCGGGGTTTTCGTCCAGAGAATCGAGGCTCTTGGGCCACCAGCTGTGGGAGCGGGGCGTCTCATCTTGGAGTAATCTTTCAAACATTGGGTCCTCTAACATTTCGATGGTGTTCCATACCCTGATGGCTTGGTGCTGCAGTCTGATGTTTAGTGGCTGTATGTTCAGGAGTTCGTGGAGCTCCTGGATTGTCTGATCATATGGTGGACGGTGTTTTGCTGCTCTCCTTAGCGCCTTATTTTGTACTGCTTGCAGTTTCTGCATGTTAGTTTTCTTTATGGTGTGTAGTGGTACTGGGGGATATTCTAGATGCGGCCGAACTAGAGCCTTATATAGGTGGATCTGAATGTTAGTACTGAGGCTTCGGAATCTTCTCAGTTTTCCTAATGCTGCTTTGGCTTTGTTTAGTCGGTCCCTTACATGAATTTGTATCCCTGTTCTATTTATCATAAGTCCCAGTATTCTGCCTACCTCCGCATATTGGATGGGCTGGTTATCAAGGATGATGGGGTCAGGGTTTCTTTTCGCAATGTGTATTATTTGGAACTTTTGTTGGTGCTAATTTTCCATTGCTTCTCAAAGTTGTTTATGAGTTCAATGGCTGCCTTGGTCTTGTCGGCTAGTAGCGGCTTTGATGGGCCCGGTTGGCATATTATTTGGGTAACATCATCAGCGTATGTGATGTATTCTCCATGTTGGGGTTGGGGTAGGTCAGCTGTATATATATGTATATATATATTCCTATTCTTCCGGACAGGAACCGAGGACACCACAGGCATTTCCTCTCTGGATCACCACACTGAGCCGCTGAAATACAAAGCTGTCAGCTCTCGGGTCTCTGGTGGTGTCAACGAGACTGGAACCCAGTTCTCCGAGAAAGCTCAAGACGCTCCTGCCCCAGGGGCCGAGTGTCTCAGATGGTATGGGAACAAAGGTGTACAGACTTTCCAGTTGCCTGTTTGATTTTGCGTTTCCGAGAGTAAGAGAGAGAGATATTCGGAAACAAAGTTCCTTTTAGTGTTTTATACGACGTTATGCTGAGAGATGCATTTTGTTGAGCCTTTTAACATCTTCAAAAACAGGGAATGCGGATACAAAGAAGCTGAAGCCACAGTATATATATATAATATATATATATATATATAGGGAAGCAGTAAGGTCGATGATGGTTGGGGCAGGTGAGGTGTGAGCTGGATATTCTGCCAAGTCACAATCGACTTGAGAATGGTCCAGGACGGACTGAAACGTCGTCGTCCCTTCACCTTCTAGTGTGTGGTCTGGTCAACATTCTGCCTTGGTCTTTAACATTGTGTATAGAATGTGCCTACGTGAGGGCTGGATGTTGACTGTTCGACTAATGTTTATATATTGTGTTTAAACGTTGTCTAGCGATGTCTAATCATCTATTGCCATTGTATCAATGTTGTTGGCCAGGATATCTCTGGTGATTGGTCAGGTTGTGTGTAGAAATTATGGTTGTTGTTTAGGCATTGTCAGGCGTTTTGAGAGAGATGTTGTCTATATATTGAGATCGTTGGGGAATGACAGTCCCCAAGGCCCCTAGGGGCCTCGTAGCCTGGTGGATAGCGCGCAGGACTCGTAATTCTGTGGCGCGGGTTCGATTTCCGCACGAGGCAGAAACAAATGGGCAAAGTTTCTTTCATCCTGAATGCCCCTGTTACCTAGCAGTAAATAGGTACCTGGGTGTTAGTCAGCTGTCACGGGCTGCTTCCTGGGGGTGGAGGCCTGGTCGAGGACCGGGCCGCGGGGACACTAAAGCCCCGAAATCATCTCGAGATAACCTCAAGATAACCTCAAGATAAGTAGAGATGCAGAGGCATAGACAGTATTTGTCTCTTTCAAGGCTTTTCCCTTCGTGTTGGGAGAGTACTTCACCAGCGATTTTCCTGCTCTTGTAGCGAACTGATAACTCTCTAAAAGCTTGGGCCTCGCACACTTTGGGTCAATGGTTCGAGTCTCCCAGAGCCCAGGTGAAGGGAATGTTAACTCAATATTCTGGTTAGTGTCGGTAGTGGTCACATTTCTGTTAATGAGGTCATTCATTAGTCTTTTCTCCATTTTATGAGCTGTGGAAAAGAAGTTCCTATAAAACAGTTTAATAGAAGGAACAGATTCTGTGGTGTTTTGACTGTTACATCAGAGGTCCTTGTTGACATGGACTTCAACCCATTCAACCCTCCACACATTCATCAGTTCACCCACCCACTCATCCAACCATCTACATCCAAGATCCATCAAACACACGAGCTCTCATTAAAAGCCAGAGATAGGAAACAAATAAAACGTCCACCAGCGGTCGCCGGGTCCAGAAGGCGAGGACCCGCCCGCGGTCGCCGGGTCCAGAAGGCGAGGACCCGCCTGCGGTCGCCAGGTCCAGAAGGCGAGGACCCGCCTGCGGTCGCCGGGTCCAGAAGGCGAGGACCCGCCTGCGGTCGCCGGGTCCAGAAGGCGAGGACCCGCCTGCGGTCGCCGGGTCCAGAAGGCGAGGACCCGCCTGCGGTCGCCAGGTCCAGAAGGCGAGGACCCGCCTGCGGTCGCCAGGTCCAGAAGGCGAGGACCCGCCCGCGGGCGCCAGGTCCAGAAGGCGAGGACCCGCCTGCGGGCGCCAGGTCCAGAAGGCGAGGACCCGCCCGCGGTCGCCGGGTCTAGAAGGCGAGGACCCGCCCGCGGTCGCCGGGTCTAGAAGGCGAGGACCCGCCCGCGGTCGCCGGGTCCAGAAGGCGAGGACCCGCCCGCGGTCGCCAGGTCCAGAAGGCGAGGACCCGCCCGCGGTCGCCGGGTCCAGAAGGCGAGGACCCGCCCGCGGTCGCCAGGTCCAAAAGGCGAGGACCCGCCTGCGGTCGCCAGGTCCAGAAGGCGAGGACCCGCCCGCGGTCGCCAGGTCCAGAAGGTGAGGACCCGCCCGCGGTCGCCGGGTCCAGAAGGCGAGGACCCGCCCGCGGTCGCCGGGTCCAGAAGGCGAGGACCCGCCTGCGATCGCCAGGTCCAGAAGGCGAGGACCCGCCCGCGGTCGCCAGGTCCAGAAGGCGAGGACCCGCCTGCGATCGCCAGGTCCAGAAGGCGAGGACCCGCCAGCGGTCGCCAGGTCCAGAAGGCGAGGACCCGCCTGCGGTCGCCAGGTCCAGAAGGCGAGGACCCGCCCGCGGTCGCCAGGTCCAGAAGGCGAGGACCCGCCCGCGGTCGCCAGGTCCAGAAGGCGAGGACCCGCCTGCGATCGCCAGGTCCAGAAGGCGAGGACCCGCCAGCGGTCGCCAGGTCCAGAATGCCAGGACCCGCCAGCGGTCGCCAGGTCCAGAATGCGAGGACCCGCCAGCGGTCGCCAGGTCCAGAAGGCGAGGACCCGCCAGCGGTCGCCAGGTCCAGAAGGCGAGGACCCGCCAGCGGTCGCCAGGTCCAGAAGGCGAGGACCCGCCAGCGGTCGCCAGGTCCAGAAGGCGAGGACCCGCCCGCGGTCGCCAGGTCCAGAAGGCGAGGACTCGCCTGCGGTCGCCAGGTCCAGAAGGCGAGGACCCGCCTGCGGTCGCCAGGTCCAGAAGGCGAGGACCCAAAAACATTTTCCGCCTTATTTGTCAGTCGTAAACACTCTCCCGTTCGTCGCTGTTTGCGTTAGAATTTACGCCTGGCGTATTCCAGCGGCTGGAGTGCAAATTTAGCCTTCAGGAGAGACTAAATAACGCCACGTGACTCTTGTTATCGCGCTGAATCTGGGAATGATTGGTGGAGTGATGTTTACAGAGGTTACCCTATGTAATCAGCAGTTTCCAAGTGAAAAATAATTATATATATATAGGGGGGTATCACCACTGGTGCAATTGTAGGGACCCATAGCCGCGAAGAAGAAAATAAAGAGTATTTCAGAGAAGACCTTGTGGATTCTCACTGAACATTTTAATATTTTCTTCTCCTACAACCCCAGTTTTTTGTATTATGTATTTGATTTTATTACATTGGTATAGTTTGCAGAAAACACAAATAACAACCACTGTTCGAAGACTCTATCCAGCTCTTCGGAGGTGTTGTGTGTATCCAAGATACAGCAAGTATTTCCTCTCTGGATCGCGACACTGAGGCGCTGGAACAGGAAACTGGCCGCTTTTGAGTCTTTAGTTTTTCTAATGAGTTCCTAATCCACCTCATTTAGGAACTTAAGTGCACATCTACCCGAGGCGCTCAGAGCCTCAGAGCCTATCGGCACGACCCTGTAACAACGTTCTAGGTCCCTGTACTTGTTGGTTTTCTGGGTCTCCGTGATGGTGGCCGCCCCACCTCCCTCAGCTGTGCTGTAAGGTAGATAGGTATCAGCCAATGTAGACGCACACGTGTAGTCCCACACGACCTGTCTACCATTCCTCCACGGCTGCAGGGTGACTCCATCTGGGACTTTGTGACTGTTGTCGAGTCTGCACAACTGAGGTTCCCTTTGTGCTGGACATCCAGCTGTAGCCAAACTTCTCTTGATGATGTCATTGACTGCTTCATGTCTGGCAATCTTTCCCTGTGTCTTATGACAGATGAGACCATGGCTGCCGTATTGGTCTGCCGTCACATAGCTGCAGATACACTGGTGTTCGGTGGAGATAGGGGCGGCAAGGCGCAGGGCAACACCAATACTTAGGGCCCAATGGTCCAGATGAAATGGTCTAAGGTGGAATTAGCGACAGCCAACAGGAAGTCCCCGACATGGGGAGCTTGCACAGCTAGAAGACGCACTTTGTCTCTGTCAAAGCTGCCTCCAGCAATGATGTGGCAATGTTCTCTACTATGGGGCTATCCCATTTGGCCTGTTTGCAGTCGTTTGGAAAAGTTGGTCAAGATGAGAGTTGGCAAGATTGTCCCACTGGCCAGCTCCGTCCGCGAATTTGGGATCATGAATCCCAATGGAGTCTCTTAGGTATTTTGGTAATATTTCATTCACTAATTCACCATTAGCATGAGGCTAAGAATGCCGGCAATGCTAACTGTGATATTTTGCGAATACCTATACCTCGAGTCTAACTGGGAGCGTTGCTTGGTCCAACTGGTCATCTTGCAGGGAGAGGTTTAACACTTTCATGGTTATTGATTTTAGGAGTGCATCATATTCTGTTAATTTCGGGCGGTCGAAGGAGGGAGCACACCTGAGGAAATAGGTCAGTCTGGGCAAAGCCAGGCACCTTGTGAGAAGGTATAAAGCATCGTGAGCATCCAAAGCCCCTATTCTTCCCTCCATCCTCCTTAGGTCGTTCTGCTTTTCTTCAAGGATTACCTCAATGGCACTTGAGTCCAGAGGTGCCCCTAGCAGCGCACTGTTGGTGGGCGCGATCACTGGGGCTCCTGGCAACACGGTTCTCACCGCATCTATTATATTATATATATATATATATATATATATATATATATATATATATATATTAAAATATTACCTCATACATAGGTTACTATGTTAGGTTAGGAAGCAGGCGGCTGGGCGAACAGAACACTGGACGTGTGATCCTGTGGTCCCAGGTTCGATCCCGGGCGCCGGAGAGAAACAATGGGCAGAGTTTCTTTCACCCTTATGCCCCTGTTACCTAGCAGTAAATAGGTACCTGGGAGTTAGTCAGCTGTCACGGGCTGCTTCCTCGTGGTGGAGGCCTGGTCGAGGACCGGGCCGCGGGGACACTAAGCCCCGAAATCATTTTATGATAACCTCAAGATCCTTCTGAAGATGTATCATTAAATACGAAAGTACTTAAGAAAATTCCTGTTTCAATTCTTCCTTCGTGGTCTGGCACTGTCACATTTTTAATCACGTGTTAATTTTCGTGAATTACACACACACACACACACACACACACACACACATATATACACACACACACACACACACACACACACACACAAATAACAGAACACCAGACAGAAGAGAGAGAGATACCAGAGAACCAGGAACGAGTATATCAGTGTGAGAAGAGAAGCTGAGAAAAAATATGAAAAGAATATAGCTAATAAAGCCAAGACTGAACCAAAGCTACTACACAGTCACATCAGGAGGAAAACAACAATGAAGGAACAGGTGATGAAACTTAGAACGAGTGAGGACAGGTACACAGAGAACGACAAAGAGGTGTGTGAGGAACTCGACAAGAGGCTCCAGGAGGTCTTCACAATAGAACAAGGAGAGGTCACTGTGCTATGAGAGGTGGCAGTAAACAAGGCGCCCTTGAAAGGTTCGAAATTAGAAGAGATGAGGTCAAGAAGCCCCTGTTGGATCTGGACGTGAGAAAGGCTGTTGGCCTGGACGGAATCTCACCGTGGGTATTGAAAGAGTGTGCCGGAGTGCATTGCTTGCCACTCTCCATAGTGTATAGTTGGTCACTGGAAACAGGAGACCTAAAATGGAAGACGGCTAATGTAGTCCCAATATACAAAGAGGGTGACAGACAAGAGGCACTGAACTACAGGCCAGTGTCCTTAACTTGTATACCATGCAAGGTGATGGAGAAGATTGTGAGAAAAAACCTAGTAACACATCTGGAGAGAAGAGACTTCGTGACAACCCATCAACATGGGTTCAGGGAGGGTAAATCTTGCCTTACAGGATTGATAGAATTCTACGATCAGGTGACAAAGATTAAACAAGAAAGAGAAGGGTGGGCGGACTGCATTTTTTGGACTGTCGGAAAGCCTTTGACACAGTACCCCATAAAAGGTTGATGCATAAGCTGGAGAAACAGGCAGGAGTAACTGGTAGGGCGCTCCAGTGGATAAGGGAGTACCTAAACAATAGGAAGCAGAGAGTTACAGTGAGGGGTGAGACCTCAGACTGGCGTGAAGTCACCAGTGGAGTCCCACAGGGCTCTGAACGTGGACCTATCCTGTTTCTGATATACGTAAATGATCTCCCAGAGGGTATAGACTCATTCCTCTCAATGTTTGCTGACGACGCCAAAATTATGAGAAGGATTAAGTCAGAGGAGGACAGCTTGAGGCTTCAAGAAGACCTGGACAAGCTGCAGGAATGGTCGAACAAATGGTCTAGGGTCGTTAAGAGTTTAACCCAAGCAAATGTAATGTAATGAAGATAGGTGTAGGAAGCAGGAGACCAGATACAAGGTATCATTTGGGAGATGAAATGCTTTAAGAGTCAGAGAGAGATAAAGACCTGGGGGTTGATATCACGCCAGACCTGTCCCCTGAAGCTCATATCAAGAGGATAACATCAGCGGCATATGCCAGGTTGGCTAACATAAGAACGGCCTTCAGGAACTTAAGTAAGGAATCTTTCAGAACTTTGTATACCACATATGTCAGACCAATCCTGGAGTATGAGGCTCCAGCATGGAGTCCATATCTAGTCAAGCATAAGACTATACTGGAAAAGGTTCAAAGGTTTGCCACCAGACTAGTACCCGAACTGAGGAGTATGAGCTATGAGGAGAAACTACGGGAATTAAACCTCACGTCACTGGGAGACAGAAGAGTTAGAGGGGACATGATCACCACATACAAGATTCTCAGAGGAATTGATAAGGTTGATAAAGACAGGCTATTTACCCCAAGGGGCATTTGGACTAGGGGACAGGTGGAAATTGAGTGCCCAAATGAGCCATAGAGACATAAAGAACTTTTTCAGTGTCAGAGTAGTTAGTAAATGGAATGCACTAGGAAGTGATGTGGTTGAGACTGACTCCATACACAGCTTCAAGTGTAGATATGCTAGAGTCCAGTAGGCTCAGGAACCTGTACACCAGTTGATTGACAGTTGAGAGGCGGGACCAAAGAGCCATAGCTCACCCCCGCAAGCACAATTAGGTAAGTACACACACACACATCCCCCTCAACCCCCAAAACCCGCCCAGCCCTCACCCCTCCCCTTGCATGTGACCCCCACCCTTGCGAGGGGGGCACATGGACCCCCGTGGGGGACGGTGGGGGACCCCCACCCTGATTTATGATTCTGGCACGTATCCTCTCGATATTTCTTATGATTTTCTTCACTGAAGCAGGAAGTTCAAAAATTAACTCTCCAAAGTTAATTTTTGGAGTGCAAAAATTGTATACATACAAAGTACATATACAATGAGAATATGTCTCATTGATAATGACTGCATGTTCTGTGTTGATTATTTTCTTGTTTAGGGCTTCTATCCCTGTGACTAGTGCTCTTGCATCTTGGTGTAACTGGAAGAGGATTTCTCCAAATGTCACCTTTGTTCGAGGTAAACTAAAAGAATAATTAACTGTAGAATAATGTATTACACTAATTATAAATTTTCACAACGTTTCGAACCTAAATGGTTCATTCTCAAGTGATGGGATTGTATTGATTAATTGATGAAGATTAAGCCACCCAAGAGGTGGCACGGGCATGAATAGCCCGTAATGGGACTGTACTGGCGGTACTGGATTTATACTATTAGGGGTCAGGGGTCAGGTACATAAAACAAATAGGTGAGGAATAAGGCATAAAGTGGGGGGAAGAACAGATGAACAAAGAACAGGGCATAACTGGGGGACGAATAAAGCTGAAAAAAGGGAGGAAGCGAAGATTAATCCGGTGTAGTGAACGTGGGCGTTTTTCATTTGTCATATT